CGTGTCTCACCTTGAGCACTAGAAACTTGTCAGGTTTCATAGCTTGACTTAATTTCTCCATAATGTCCAAATTGGAAATGGATTTGCCCGTTTTATAGGAGGGCAGGGCCACAGATATTTTCATCTTGGCCACCGGCTTGAGATAAAGACTGTGCGGCAGATATAAAGGGACACAGTCTGCGACATGTTGTATAGTCTGGATATTGATCATTTTTGTATTTTTTTTATATATTTAAAGCAGCAACATATATTTTTGATGATTTTTCAACAAATTTTGTTTTTGTTAAAATAATTATGATTTTTTTGTTTAACAAATATTTTTTTTTATAATTTATAATAAAAATAGAATTAATAAAGTTATATATTAGGCAAAAAAAAAAGGTTAAAGAAAAAAAAAAATAAAATGAAAAAAGGAAAAATAATAGTTTTTTAATAAAAAACAACTGTTTATAGTTTAGAAATCCTAAAATTCTTAATTTAAATTGCTTAAAAACTAATAAATTAACAAATTTTTTGTATTTTTCTTTGATACTGCCGTCTAGTTTTAAGAAATGTATAAATTTTCACTAAGACACGCCAGCCCACAAATCTACTCTAAAAAAATTATAAATTTTTTTCAAAAGTCTTTATTTCTTTTAATTTTAATAATTCTTTATAAACTTCAAGTCCTTTTAATAAAACACTTTATATATTTATGATATTTTATTAATTCTTTTTAAAAAAAGTTCTTAATTTAAAGAAAATTGTATATTTTTCCACAAAAATCTAAGAAAAATTGCAACGAAATGAATATGTAAAATGCCGTACAGAGATACAAGCCGAGTCGGCTGAAATAAACGGCGGCAGGTCGCCAGCCAAATTTTGGGCAACGACGTTACAAATACTAAAGCGCCTTGGCGACACATCAAATTGTTTGACTCAAACGGTAAGTTTTTTGATTGTGTTAGTAAAAAAACTCACACCGCATATATACATGTGAGTTTTTTCACTAACACAATCAAAAAACTTACCGTTTGTAGTGTAAGATTTTTTACTAACACAATCCAAAAGATTATCGTTTGAGATTGATTTGATTTAAAAAAATGTTAATAAGTTCCACTTTTTACAGAGGCCACCAACGCCGACGACCATTTTACATCGACACCGAAAAACATTATCACACAAAGCCACACTGTCGCAGAACAGAGTTGCATTTTTTGAAAAATATGGCAACTTTATAATTTTGCAGTTTAATACTTATTTTAACAACTGAGTTAGTTGAAATGGCGGTAAATAAGCTTGAGTGTTTTTTTATAGCAAAATTAAGTTTCCGTGAAAATTTAATTGAAAATCCTTAATTAAATGAGATTAATTAAAAGAAAAGTGTTGCTAATGAGAAATTAAAGTGTTGTTATTGTTTTAAAGTTAAATTTTGTGTTGTTTATTTACATATTGCTATTTGATATGGTCATTTCGTTTTGCTGCTATCAGCTTCCGTGGAAAATTATTAAAATTTGTAAGAATGTATAAAAAATTGCTATTTTAGTTAAAAGAAAAGTCGATTTAAAGTAAATTTAATGTTTAAAGTTGAAATTTTTAAGTTTTAGTTAAAAATTTTGAGAAAAATTTGTTGACAGCAAAAGAAGAAAGAAGTAAATGAAAATCTGCAAATATAAAACAAACCGGAGTTGGTGGATGAGGTTGTCTGCAGTTTTAAGGTAAGTTATTATTAACTATGTACATAGTATGCATAAAAACAATAGTAGCCTGCTTGTGATGTACAACTTCCAACACTTCTTACAACTTTTGTGTAACTTGTTTGAAAGAGGCCAACACAACTATTGTGACTTATGTAACTTTATAAGCCGAAGATTGTAATAAAATCTTAATATTTCAACTGTTCCTTAGCTCCTTCAAAAGTTTTATACTCGTCTCTGTCTGTGGGATAAATATTTTCAACTCCGGCGTACGTCCATCTACCCGTTCCGCTTTATAGGTTCTAGCTTCTCTTGCAAGTGGGCTTTCAACAGGTTGTGTTAACTTAATTAAACAGCGGCTTCGCCTATGAAATATTTTTAATGTAGAACAACAAGCTGCTTCTAGGTATTAAGGGGAAGCTGAATGCCGGCTTCCTTTTTGTAATCATAGCAGAAACTTTACAACCCAATGGGTTGAATGAACTACATTTCCTGTCACTTTTGCTATTTTTCCAGAGCTGTTCTTTAGTGGTAAAACAGTTTTTAATTGAAGTCGGTAATACAGAGTAGATGACAGATGAAACCACAGATATGTATAACGGTGAACAATAGGTTGACTTTAGACATTTCAAATTAACTACTAACTACTAACTAACTAACTAACTAACTAACTAACTACTAACTAACTAACTAACTAACTAACTAACTAACTAACTAACTAACTAACTAACTACTAACTAACTAACTAACTAACTAACTAACTAACTAACTAACTAACTAACTAACTAACTAACTAACTAACTAACTAACTAACTACTAACTAACTAACTAACTAACTAACTAACTAACTACTAACTAACTAACTAACTAACTAACTAACTAACTAACTAACTAACTAACTAACTAACTAACTAACTAACTAACTAACTAACTAACTAACTAACTAACTAACTAACTAACTAACTAACTAACTAACTAACTAACTAACTAACTAACTAACTAACTAACTAACTAACTAACTAACTAACTAACTAACTAACTAACTAACTAACTAACTAACTAACTAACTAACTAACTAACTACTAACTAACTAACTAACTACTAACTAACTAACTAACTAACTAACTAACTAACTAACTAACTAACTAACTACTAACTAACTAACTAACTAACTAACTAACTAACTAACTAACTAACTAACTAACTAACTAACTAACTAACTAACTAACTAACTAACTAACTAACTAACTAACTAACTAACTAACTACTAACTAACTAACTAACTAACTAACTAACTAACTAACTAACTAACTAACTAACTAACTAACTAACTAACTAACTAACTAACTACTACTAACTAACTAACTAACTAACTAACTAACTAACTAACTAACTAACTAACTAACTAACTAACTAACTAACTAACTAACTAACTAACTACTAACTAACTAACTAACTAACTAACTAACTAACTAACTAACTAACTAACTAACTAACTAACTAACTAACTAACTACTAACTAACTAACTAACTAACTAACTAACTAACTAACTAACTAACTAACTAACTAACTAACTAACTACTAACTAACTAACTAACTAACTAACTAACTAACTAACTAACTAACTAACTAACTAACTAACTAACTAACTAACTAACTAACTAACTAACTAACTAACTAACTAACTAACTAACTAACTAACTAACTAACTAACTAACTAACTAACTAACTAACTAACTAACTAACTAACTAACTAACTAACTAACTAACTAACTAACTAACTAACTAACTAACTAACTAACTAACTAACTAACTACTAACTAACTAACTAACTAACTAACTAACTAACTAACTAACTACTAACTAACTACTAACTAACTAACTAACTAACTAACTACTAACTAACTAACTAACTAACTAACTAACTAACTAACTAACTAACTAACTAACTAACTAACTAACTAACTAACTAACTAACTAACTACTAACTACTAACTAACTAACTACTAACTAACTAACTACTAACTAACTAACTAACTAACTAACTAACTAACTAACTAACTAACTAACTAACTAACTAACTAACTACTAACTAACTAACTAACTAACTAACTAACTAACTAACTAACTAACTAACTAACTAACTAACTAACTAACTAACTAACTAACTAACTAACTAACTAACTAACTAACTAACTAACTAACTACTAACTAACTAACTAACTAACGACACTAAAAAGAATAAAATAACACTCATCTAAATAAAATCCATATTTTTTGGTCACTTCTAATGTACACCCGTGTTAAAACTTACCTTTTTAAACCTTTTTAAAGAAAATTATTTGCTCATTTACTATTACTGAATGAATTTGTTTTTTTTTTTTTCTTTATTATTTTATTTTTCTTTTCCTTTTTTCAATAAGTTTTATTCCCAATTTTTGTATGTAATAGTAATTTCTTTTTGTATTTTCTTACTATTTTATAGTGTGGTGAATTTGTTGAGTTTTTTCTTATTATTGAGGGGAATTTTGAAATCTGTTTTTAAGGTAAGTTTTAATTACATTCTTTGCTTATTCTTTAGTTTTATATTTATTGGGGTAACATTTTTTGTGTTTTTGAAGTGTTAATAATTAATAATTTTGTGTTTTTGGGGGAAAAAGTTTTACTTTTTTTTGGTAGTAATTGGGTCTTAATTATAAACTAATTTAAATACTTAACATAAGAATTGTTTGTGATTTTTTAATTTTTTGCTTTTAGTTAAATATACTAAGTAGTGGGAGGGGGGATTAATACAATAAAATACAAAGTTGTTTTTGCCACTTTTGAGGGGGGAAATGCATGTTTTAGGTGATATTTTTAAACAGTTTCCTTATAAATGCATTTTGCTTTTTTTTGGTTTCTTTAAGATTTAGTTAATAATTGTCTTAATTCATATACAATGTTAATAATATGTTTGTGTAAGTGTTTTTTTATACTAAATTTTTATTTTTATTAAATTTATAAATTTGATACGTTTTTAAACGATATAGATGCGTTGCTTAGCACGTCACTTTTTTTGTTTTAATCAATTTGAGCGTGGGATTATGTTTCCATTTGAAATATTTTTTTCTTCCTTCAACATTTTTCAAAATATATTTATAGATTTTTTCTTTCTAGTTTAACAACTTAATTTAAAAAATAATAAAAAAAATTATCTTAATTAAAAAATGTATAGATAAATGAAGCTTAAGTTGTTATTATATTTAAATATAATTTATGTTTTTCTTTTTTTTTTAATATTAATCATTATTTAAATTATAATATTAATTCATGAGTATTTTTTATTGTATAAGTGTGTGTGTTGTTTTGGTTTTGTATGTATACAAATTATACATTTTTGTTTTTTTGTTTTTTTTTTTTTCAATATTTTTTATATGTTTGTTTGTTGGTTTTACTTCCGGCCACAGAAATTATTGCATCATCTTGTTGCAAAAGATAATGTCAAACAGCTTAAAGTTGTTATTGTTGTTGCTGTGGTTGTTGATAATAATGATGACAGTTGTATTTTTAAATTACGGGAAAATAATAAAAATGTTAGTGTTAATTGTAGCCAGGATATTCGTTGTTTCACTAGGTTGGTGGAGGCTGCATTACGTGATTCTTCTAATCCTGGGCAAAAGTGTAATTTAATTAATTTTCTTTTTTCGTGTTTAATGTTTAAAACAAACTCACCTCCTATAAAATTTAATTGATCATCATTTATGGTTGCGATACCGGGATGTAATTTGATTTCTGTTAAGAGAAAAATTTGAAGAAATTTTTAATTTACTTTAACTTTATGATCTTTTTTATTGTCGTCTTTTTGATCTAGTCTATGCTCGTGTCTAGGATCGACTTTAAAGTCGACTCAATAGTCGATTCTATAACCGACTCTATAGTCAACTCTAAAGTTGACTCTATGATCGATTATATAGTCGATTCTATGATCGACTCTATAGACGAATCTATTATCGACTTTATGATCAAGACTATAGTCGTCTCTATGAACGACTCTTATTGTTTCTATGATCAGCTCTATAATCGCTTGTTTGATTTACTCTTTTTTGACTATATAGTCGACAATATGATCGACCGCTCCATGACTTACTCTATAGTCGACTCTATGATCTAGTTTATAGTCGGCTTTATGATGGAGTCTATAGTCGTCTCTATGACCTACTCTATAGTCGATTCTACAATCATGTCTATAATCGATTATGTAGTCTACTCGATGATCGACCTTATAGTCCATTCTATGATCAAGTCAATAGTCGTCTATAGGACCGATACTATAGCCGATTCCGTGGTAACTAGTCTCTATGATCGCTATCTATAACAGACTCCATATTCGACTCTACAATCGGTTCTACGAGCAACTGTATGATGGAGTCTATAGTCGACTCTATGATTTAGACTATAGTCGACTCTATGGTTGACTCTCTAATCAACTCTATATTATATATAGTCCGTTCTATGATCGACTCTCTATAGTCGACTCTATGATCAAGACCATAGTCGTCTCTATGATCTATGATGTTTATAATCGCTTATATGGTTTACTTTAAGAACTATCGATTTTCTGTTTGAGTCAGAAATCGAATCTATGATCAATTCTTTCATCAAATCTATTGTCGGCTCTATGATCAACTCTAATAACGCTCTATAGTCGGCTTTAAGATAGACTCTACTTACCATACAATCTCAGCGTACCCTCGGCTCTTCCCAATGAATTTGTGCTTACACAATGATATGTCCCAACATCGGAGGGTGAAAATGAACGTACGGTCAAAAGCATTACACCTCTATAGCCGTCACGTTTTTCTGTTATGGCATATTTGGGTCTAAAAAGAAACATATTTTCATTATATTAACTGCCTTAAAAGGGAAACTTTATTTTGATCACATACCCATCTAATAACATTTCGGGTCCTGGCTGTCCCGTTTCCAAACTATTGCTAGAAACACTAGCAAAACCACTGGGTGTACGAGCACCCTTAAGCCAATATGAAACCGGTGAGGGAGAAGCTTCAACATGACATTCCAGCTGAACATCCGAACCGAGAGGAGTGCCAAGCAATTGACTGGGTGCACGAACCATGGGGGCAACTGGAAAGGAACATTTGGTTACTAATAACTTAAAGCTATTAAGTTATTTACTTACACTGCACACTTAACGACACCCTTTTACTGACCGCAGGCGGTACATCATTCGAAGCTATACACAAATAGGCACCCATTTGTCTTCTCTCCAAACGCACCAGTTTTAAGGCAGCACCCTGATAAGACTCCACTAGAAACATAAATAAAATAGATCAATTAAAAACAGAGAACAAATTTGTTATTAATCTTACCATACACACCTCTCATCAACTCTCGGCTGCCGGGTTTACGCAATAAAATCATTTCACCATCCTCACGACGCCAAGTAACACGAGGCTGAGGATTACCAGTAGCTTTACAGATGAGAGTAGCATCTTCGCCTTCCTGAACGGCCAAGTCGGAGGAAGATTCTTCGTTAATAATATCGGGAGGAACTGGAAAAAGGAAATTTTTATAATTTTGAATTCGTAAATCAATATATAAATTAAAAATGTTTAATGCTATACCTTGCACATCAATACATCCCACTTGTTTCTTCATGGGACTGGTATTTATTTGGCACATATAACAGCCACGATCACTTTCTCTTAATTTACTGATTTTCAACTTCCAAGTATGCATATCTTCATGCATGACACTTATGCGTGCATTATGGGTTACTACACGACCCTGTAAAGCTAAAACTGTTTGATCGGAAGCTCTTAGCCAACCCACCTAAGGAATTTCAATAAAATTTTATTAATAAAGAAACTGATCGCCAGAAAAACGTGAGCTTCAAAGGACTCACCTTATTTTTCCCCAAATTTCTTACAGAACAGGCTAAGATTGCCTCTCTACCCGCTGGAAATGTTACATTATTTATAGTACCAATAAATTCTGGATCGGGATCTAATTGCATATTTGGCTCTAGAATATACAACAAAAGAGGTTCGTTATTTGATTTTACTTGTTTTTGAGTGTGTTCTTTCCTTACCATTTAAATTTTGTGATGAAGAATTTGGACATTTTGTGGCCATAAATAGGAATATGACTAATAATGGATGTATTTGTTTCATTTTTGTTGATTTGTTTTCTTTGTTAAAAATCACAGTAACTTTATTTTGGAGAAGTTCTCTTAAAACTTCTCTTACTTTCGCTCTCCTCACTTCTGGGTTTCAAACGATCTTAATGTAGTGTTAATTTTCTAGGATAAAGATTTGTCTTTTGGGTTGTCATGGGGAAGTTGATTTAATCTGAAAAGATAAAGAAGGGCAGGGAAGTTGTATTAGTTATTAGAATATGGAGTTTAAAACGAAATATATAAAAAATATATAAATACTGTAGTTTTTTTATTGACTCGTCTTCAAAATCGATTTTATAGTCTTCGCTACGTTTGATTCTATGTTCGTCGCAATATTCGACTCTGTGCTCTTCTTAATAGTGGACTCTATGTTCTTCTAATTAGCCGATTTTATGCTCGAATTTATAGCATACCCTATCCTCGATCTACTCTATAATAGACTCAATAGTATACTCTATGCTTGACTCTATACACGATGCTTTGCTCGTCTTTATAACCGATTCTATTTTAATGAATAATATTTAAAAACTGCTGAGTCTTTTATCGACTTAATGATCGAATTCGTAATCGATTCTATAGCCGACTCTATGGTCTACTCTATGTTTGATTCTATGTTTGCCGCAATAATAGACTCGATGCTCTTTTTTATAGTGGACTCTATGTTTTTCTAATTATCTATAGTCTACTCTATCTTCGAATTCATAGTCCATTCTACTCTATACTCTACTCTATGCTTCACTCTATACACGTTTCTTTGCGATTCTATAGTCCCTTTTATACTGGATTCTGTAGTTGATTTTATGCTCCATTCTATAGTTGACTCTTTAATTGATTATATGCCCAAGTCTTTAGTTGATTCTATGCTCGACTCTTTAGTTTCGGTTCTTATAATTAGCCGATGTTATGGTGGAATCTATAGTCCACTCTATCCACTCTATCCTTTCTTTGCGATTCTATAGTCCCTTTTATACTGGATTCAGTAGTTGATTTTATGCTCCATTCTGTAGTTGACTCTTTAGTTGATTGTATGCCCAAGTCTTTAGTTGATTCTATGCTCGACTCTTTAGCTTCGGTTCTTATAATTAGCCGATGTTATGGTCGAATCTATAGTCCACTCTATCCTCGAATTCATACTCGATTCTGTAATTTACTCTATACTCTACTCAATAGTCTACTCTAGCCTGGACTCGATGCACGATTCTATGCTCGACTTTTTAATCGATTCTATAGTCCCTTCTATGCTGGACGCTATATTGATATTATGCTCCCCTCTATAGTCGAATCTTTTGTAAAATCTATGTTCAAGTCAAATTTACACGATTCTCTGCGATCTTATAGTCCCTTCTATACTAGATTCTGTAGTAGATTTTATGCTATATTCTATAGTTGACTCTTTAATTGATTATATGCCCAAGTCTTTAGTTGGTTCTATGCTCGACTCTTTAGCTTCGGTTCTTATAATTAGCCGATGTTATGGTCGAATCTGTAATCTACTCTATACTCTACTCAATAGTCTACTCTAGCCTTGACTCTATACACGGTTCTATGCTTGACTTTATAATCGATACTAAAGTCCCTTCTATTTTCGACTCTGTAGTTGATATTATGCTCCACTGTATAGTCGACTCTTTTGTCAAATCTATGTTCGAGTCAAATCTACACGATTCTTTGCGATCCTATAGTCCCTTCTATACCGGATTCTGCAGTTGATTTTATGCTATATTCTATAGTTGACTCTTTAGTTGATTATATGCCCAAGTCTTTAGTTGATTCTATGCTCGACTCTTTAGCTTCGGTTCTTATAATTAGCCGATGTTATGGTCGAATCTATAGTCCACTCTATCCTCGAATTCATACTCGATTCTGTAATTTACTCTATACTCTACTCAATAGTCTACTCTAGCCTGGACTCTATACACGATTCTATGCTCGACTTTATAATAGATTCTATTATCACTTCTATGCTCGACTTTGTAGTTGATATTATGCTCCACTCTATAGTCGACTCTTTTGTCAAATCTATGTTCGAGTCAAATCTACACGATTCCTTGCGATCATATAGTCCCTTTTATACTGGATTCAGTAGTTGATTTTATGCTCCATTCTATAGTTGACTCCTTAATTGATTATATGCCCAAGTCTTTAGTTGATTCTATGCTCGACTCTTTAGCTTCGGTTCTTATAATTACACAGAGAAAACAGATTCGTTGTGATAACCGAATTTGTTTCCAATCGAATTCAGTCGGTTCTCACAACTATCCCATAATTCGATTGTAACTAATGTAAAATTCGGTTCCTGTTACTGAATATATGGTGTACACAACTATTTTAAATTATTTTTCGATAATCTGGATCGAAATTATCGGTATTTGGAACTGAAATATTATTTATTAAAACCAATTTGTGGATTATGTTTATTTGAAAATATATTTTATTTTGTTTAAAATAATTACAATAAAATATAAATATAAATGTACATTTACAAACCTATAAAACTTATTTATATAAAATAGTCACTTTTCTTCTCTAGTTTTGAGATATTGATGGTGAATGCTATGTTTATGTACCAGGGATTTTACTCTTAATTCTGTCCATTTCCAAAGGAATACTACCATACCACGCTTTTCCGCTGCTGTAAAATTATTAAAGATTATAGGAAAATAACACAAAATAGATGTTAAGATATAAAATAGACTAAACTTACCTTTTCTATCCCATTTTTCCGTATTAATTTGCATTTAATTGTTATTAGTTTTATTATTCAATTATAAAATCGTTTTATTTTATTTATTTTTATATACGTCAAATATAATTACCAATTGATCGGTTGTGAACATCGAATTTGGTTCCTTTAACCGTAATTAAATTTTAAATAATTTTATCAGTTGATAATTGGTTGCAGTAGTCAATAATTTTTACTTTCTACTGTTTTTCGGTTACAGAGACTAATATTTGATGTTCTTATATTTTAATCCTAAATAAAATTCGGCTGCATTTACTGAATTCACAAATGAATTTAATAACCAATAGAATTCAGTTCAAATTATTGATTTGGAAATTGTTACAACTACAATTCGATTAATATTATGGTTTTTTAATTCTGAATATAGAAAATCAGTTAATTATACAGTTTTTCAATAACATCTATACAATTTTAATTAATTTAACTAAATATCTATCATGGTAACCGATTTCCAATCGATCTGTTTTCTGTGTGTAGCCGATGTTATGGTCGAATCTATAGTCCACTCTATCCTCGAATTCATACTCGATTCTGTAATTTACTCTCTACTCTACTCAATAGTCTACTCTAGCCTGGACTCTATGCACGATTCTATGCTCGACTTTTTAATCGATTCTATAGTCCCTTCTATGCTCGAATCTGTAGTTGATATTATGCTCCACTCTAAAGTCGACTCTTTTGTCAATTCTATGTTCGAGTCTTTAGTTTATTCTATGTTCGACTCTTTAGTCGAGCATATATTCTAGGCTGTATTCTAATTATAGCCGACTCTAGGTCAGACTTTATGATTGACTCTCTGCTCGATTCTGCAGTTGTCCCTATCCATGGCTCTCTAATCAACTCTTTATGACAATAAGTATGCAATAGCTCATGTTAAATTATAAATTTATTAAATAAATGTATAAATTTGTTTATCTATTCAATATCTAATTTCATCATATCACTTTCTCTCTTAATTACTTCATTGATTTTGAATATGAAATCCGTTTTAAATTTCGTTTAATCGAAAGAAAGGAAAAAATGTAAATAAATTTTCAATAAATCATATTGCATATAAATAGAATAGCATGTTTGTTATCTTTTTGACAAATTTGCTATTATACATATAATATTTTGGTATATTATTATTTATGTATGTATGTCACCCACATATACATACATTTTAAATATAATTATTTGTTATTTGACCAGCATTTATACCACATATTTACACACAGGTATTTTAGCTATAAAGATAATACAAAATATTTCCATAGATAAGACAATAAATATATAAATTTCTATATATTTATGTACATATTTATATGCATTCATAGTAAATAATAGCAATCAGATAGTTAAAAATATAATTTATAAAAAAAACATCAAAATACAGGATAAATTTATATAAATTTTTCAAATAATAATAAAAAAAACTATGTTTGATATATTAAGTCATTTGATATTGAAACATAAATGTAGATGACATATACTAACACACATACATATGCACAACTTTAAAATAACATGATTACATATACTGACATTTTGCATTGAAATAATGTATCGCACAAAATGTACAATATAGCCAGGAAGTTTTTTTATGCGATCAGGGATCAATTGTAGTTTTTGAATTGAATTGTATTATTTGTAACACAGACAGCATACTCCAGATGTCCTACGTAATCTAGAAAGGATACAATAGCTTCTATAGTCGACTTTGTGATTGGCTCCATAGTCGCTTCTGTGATCAACTGTATGATCGACTCTGTAGTCGGCTATGTGATCGACTATATAGTTAACTCTGTGATCGACTCTATGACCCACTTAATGACCGACACTATAGTCGGCTTAATGATCGACTCTATTGTCGACTTAATAATCGACTCTATAGTCGACTATATAATCTATTCTATAGTCGACTCTACATCCAACACTGTAATCGTCTCTATAGTCTCTATATGATCTATTCTATAGTCGACTATATGATATGCTATAGCTGACTCTGTGAGTAGCCCTGTAGTTGACTTTATGATCGGCTCTACAGTCAACTCTATAAACGAATCTGCATATTTGACTCTATACCGACTATAATCGATTCTCCGGATCTAAAGGCGACTCTATGATTGACCCTATAGTCGACTGTATGATCGACTTTATGATCCATTCTATAGTCGATTCTATGATCAACTCTGTAGTCTACTGTATAGTCGACTATTAGCCCAACTCTGTATTACACACTATGATGGCTCTATACTCGATCATGTTATTTGGAAGTATTATAAGATATCTTCATGTCTGGAGCGTAGTCTCCTATAAACTTTTTAAACCTCTAGAAGAAAACCATTACAAAGTCGATTCTCCATTTGTAAAGAAAAAGATTAATTACTTTACATGTTCAAGGTAATCTAGCGAGGAGTCTTATAATCACTTTAATATCATCA